GGGTGATAGTTGCTATGCGTCAACCATCTAGAGTAATATTGAAAGGTAAAATATGGGTAAAGGAGTCGAGTGAATGGGGCTGTGGTGGGTTTAGGTAAGGGGTTAGATAAAGTGAAGGATATATATACGTCTGAGGAACAGGTTGTCAAAGCAAAAGTGTAGGATTCTGTAAGAATGCCTGATAGGTTGGGAGGTTGGTGAAGGGAGGGAGTTCTGCAAAGATGTTCGAAGGGCGAGGTAGGGATTAGCAAAGAGAAAGGGGTTTAATGGCAATTAAATCATTTCAGGACTGTGTCAGAAAGAAATTAATTTGAAGTGCAGATTGTACTTTAATCAAGTTCAAGGAATAAGAGAATAAGTAATCAGAGTAATCAAAGTGATCAGGTTCCCTCAGTTCATATTGAAATGCATTTGGATATGCTTGTTTTTTGGTCTTAAACAATTTTGTCATTACTAGATTTGCGAAGTAAACGACTTCGATTCTCGAACTGATCCATTTCTTGGTTTTGATCATTCTTTATATGGCAAGTTACGTTTTGCATGTCGTTTATTTCTTGTATAAACAGTCATGGTCTCACGTAAGATGACACTATGCAAGTCGAGATTATGCTTTACGAATTTCATTTCTTGTACCACAACTAACCTTAATTAGACCTGAAAGGTCGAGAGAACGGAAGTGGGATATGAGAAAATGGTGGACGAGAGGGAGAGCACGTCCATGTAAGTTTTCCCCATGGACTTTCCTTCTTCTGGACATTTGATTTAAAATTACCTTCTGGACAATTGACACTTTTCGACAATTAGTAGCATTCTTCTTTACCCCTCAGCTTTTGAATGGGCATGTACTGAACATTCTTCCTTTACACTTCATTTTCCCTGAACTCATTTTATAATTTTTTGCCATTTGCGGAGGCTTACTGTCCATTTATATCCTAGATGCAGCCCCCTGAGTTTAAATTCTTTACAGCCTACTTAGCTACGCGATTCCTTAGATCTACATTAATTTACATATACTTTTTCAAGATTTGTAAGAACGATAATCTAGTTCATCTGGGAAATCTATTACATATCACTTATATGTGCATTACCTGCATTATTTTTTTTTTATGCAAGCACTTTAAATATTTTGCAATCTCTCTAGCTATTGGAAATATGCGTATAAAATAGGATAGGTCTATTAAACACTTCTTTACACGTCTTCAATTTTATTCTTTCAGATTCTGAAACGATCTTAAACACAAACTACATATACTACAGTATAGTAAAATACCAGAAACAAATTAGTAAAGAATGTATTTGATTTTTTTGGCTTCAGAGTAAATGTGTAAAGTTCCATCATTTACATGCACAGTTAATTCTAACGTACAGCTATAATAGTAAAATGCCCTCCTTAATTCAGATGGTAGAATATTAACAAATTTATTTTTATGTAGTGGTAAAGTCATAAGAACTAAACCAGATACTGCTGTACCTAACTAAATTGACAACTGTGAAATAGATAGCTTTATCTATTGGTAAAATTTGGAGGAACAAAATGAGACCCTGTAGTTATTAGACCACATTCAATAACAAAAAGTTACAGAGATCACTGCAAGCAGAAGCTAGTGAACCACACGCAATGACTTACAAAGTGTTCCAACTTTAATCAATGGTAATTAGTTAAAAAAAAAATATATATTCCTTAAGACAAAAGATGTATTCATGTTAAGCCGGAGCCTCAAAGGTTGAATCAATGCCATACAATTCCTGAATGGCTTCTTTGGCTAGAATAAACTTCGCTTTCTTCACGTTATGACCTGCAAATGGAAAAAAAGATAATTAAGCAGCTGCAGTTGAGAATATTAACTATAATAAACTATATAAAACATATGCTAATAGACATTTCCTTTTACATATTTGTAAACAGCATCAAAAAGCAGTAAATACTGCTTCATTCACTTTATAGTCAACTTACCTACTCCTGTAAATGGTTTCCCATCAATATCAGCAGAAACCGTGAAATATGGTTTGTTCTCCTTTGTAGCCTGCGTTACAGCATACTGCAGGCCTGGCTTCATCTGATGCAGAACCATGACGGGATGCATAGCTGCTGCATTCTCAGGCATCTGTTTTGCAGGTTTTGGCACTTTCGTAGCCTCTGTTGACTGTAAAGCCAAATTTGCTTCCTGATGAAAAGAAAAATTTCTATCAAGGATCGAATACATCAACTAGCTGTTACACTTCCTCCAGGGACTGCTTCACCCATGAGGAGGGTTATGTCTCTACGACACCTAAACATTTCTGTTCAATTAAACAAAACAGGAAAAAAATTAAATCATGAGTATTTCTGATTCTCACCTTGGCATCAGCAGGTGTAAGAAGAGCCCTTGTGCCAAGATGGGCACAAATGGCTTCAGTAAATGCAGTTGTGGTTCCTTGACCTGACTCATCTTTAATACCTCCTGTTCCTCCAAGTGACTGGCCCAAGAAAGCTTGGAAACCTGTGGCGTCAGAGGCAGTTAGTTCTAAAATAAACAAAAACATTTCAGTAGGTGATCTCACGAAATAAAACATGGTTACTATTAATTGTAAACTAAAACTTCACTAAAGTTCATGCAAATGCTTGCATTTTCTAAAAACATCTTAATAGCAATGCCATGCTTCAGATTTTTATATAGTACATTCATTACTAGACAGCTGCAAAAACAAAGCTTAAAAAATTTAATATTTCAAATAAAAACACTGACAACTATACAAAAATATTTAAATGGAAAAATGCATGACCAAAATAAGAAATCAAAATAATTTGTATAAAAAGACTACAAAATATATTTCCAGTTCCATTTACATAAATATTGAGACAAAAATGGAGTAAAAATATGTCCACGTGTGCAAGTAGGTGTATATGCGTGTGTGT